AACCCCGTATATTCATTGTGCATGCCACATCTGTATCTGTTACTAACTGGACTATAATCTTCTGTAGGTCACTAGGTGTAATTATGTGGCTATGATTGCTATTGACAGATTAAAGTTTGAGATTTAGAGATTCCAGCGAAGGCTCTGGGTACATCGCTTGTTTCCCTCTCCTTTAAACATCACTATCCACAAAACCATTCGAAAAAAAACAAAATAACAGAGCTGCCCTTTTTTTAGTTTCTTTTTTTCTTTTTTTCTTTGGTCAATAAGAAGATAAATTAACACCTAAGATGTTGATTTAAGGTAAAAGAGTTGTGGAATCCTTTTAGTGAATGCTTCTTTGATGTGTGTTAGTTAATTGAGAAAAACAGTTGAAAAAGGTTGGAAACCTAGTCTTTTTCTTCCCCAGGATGTGTGTCTACACGTGCATGCACATTTAAATTTGAAATGTTTTGGGTCCATTTGAAAGAATCTAGTAAGGTGAAGCTTTGTGCACGAAATCTCATTAAAAGAAGCATCTTAACCAGAAGTTCACTATGTTTTGAAACTTACCATGCCATAATGCACTGAGTTTTACAATTTGTGCAAATCTTTGCCTGAGCAATTGGTTTTGTTTATTGTAGTTTCCACTTTGGATGATTGTGCAGGAAACATGAGAAGGTCACATCAAAGCGCCTAGAAGAAGCTCGCAGATAATCTTTGGAGAAGGGAGAGAATCAGAACACCCATTCGGTACAGCTCTCTTCGCTCGTCACCTGAATAGATGACATTCTTGTATTTGTTTACTCGTTCAATCCATTCATACATATATATATATCATTATTGTCGATGTATAATTTGCGCCTGTAGCCAATTTTAGTGTGAACTTATAGGATAAATAATCCCTGTTATTTAGGTGTCCATTATGTCTTAGTTCAAATTATTCAACTAAATAATAATCGTATCTTTTTCTTTGGTGTCAAGAAGAAACATTGATTGGTTCTAGTGGATTAGATGATGATATACAGAACAATCATAAGGGGCTTCCCATAAACTCCAATTTTTCAATTTCACTTAGTTATTTCTACAATATTTTAAGAGTTAGGAAAGAGATCGAGAGAGAGGGAGAGGGAGACAGAGAGAGAGAGGGAGAGAGAAGAATCGATGAAACTGAGATTGGAAGACCAACCCTCAGACGGCGCTGATCTTGCACAACCTGTTTAGCACGGGCCCTAACCTCATATGGATCAATCTTGGATTGGGGGCGAACTAGAGCATATATAACTCATCAATCACTGAAACAGAGAGAGAGATGGGAAGGAAGGGCTTCAGAGAGAGAGAGAGACGGTGGAGCTGACCTTAGGAGACGATGGTGTAGATGATGATGTAGACGATGGTGCAGATGGTGGAGACCGATCTGAATCTCTGAATCTCTGCGATGAAATCACTGAGATGAAATCGCTCTGAATCTTTGTGATGAAATCACTGAGATGAATCTCTGAATTGCTCTGATAAGGGTTTAGAGAGGGTTGAGAGAGAGATTTAGAGAAAGAAAGAGAGACAGTGGTGGAGCTTCGAAATCGCTCTGAGATTTAGAGAGAGAGAGAGAGATCGAAAATTTGGGTCTTAGGTGAGTCTGTCTGAGATTCAAAATTAGGCTTTGAAAAGAGGAGACCAAGCGCGTGAGGCACAACACATTTGGAGGCGTTTTAAACGCTTCCTATTATTAAACGGTGTCGTTTTGTTAAATAAATATGCGACATTTTATAAAACGTCGTTAAATGTTACAAAAAAGTGACGTTTAAAAATGCGTCGTTAAAAAAACGCCGCCTAAACCTGTTTTTCCTGTAGTGGGAAGAGAATGTTTTGCTTCTTGTAGATGTGATGTGGTGCATGATAATACTTATAGACAAGTTTTATGTCATGCAATCCCCTGTGCATCCAGTAAATCCCGAAATCCACAATTACAAGATAAATCGTTAAGTACACAACGTAGGTGAGCCAATTGACATCACTCATTCTTGGAAAACATCCTGTCCAACCATTTTCAACTATGTGCTCAAAAACTGTAAAGAAAAGCAGCATACCATGGCATGACCTTCATCGCAACGTATATGTAAAAGAGCATGGCATTTGTTGAAGGGGTGGCATTTCTAATTTAATATAGAAGATTCAAATAATTTAGATCTTGTTTTGACAGCATTCTTTTATGAGTAATGCTCTATGCAAACAAAAAAATTCATACATAATATCATACATAAGATGTGGCTCATTATGGACCATTCACTTTGTTGGACCATTTTAATATCTTTTATTTATTTATATTGTTCTTGAATCTTCTTTTATTTTATTCATGAATCTCATCTTGTTCATGTATTGAGATTCATTGCTTTGGTGTCCTTTTGTTTTGTTCATGGATTAAGATTTATTAGAATTTATGAACTTGGAGTGTGAGTTAATGTTTGGTATACTCTCCCTTTTCTCTAAGTTCTTGGTCATTTGTATGTCTTAGTGGCCTATAAATAGTCCATCTTATCTACTCTTTTCTACATCAACTCACCAACTATTTTTCCATACTTGAGAGATTACTAGCAAAGAAGGGTGTTTTTCTTGGTAGAGCTTTGGGTTCACCATCTTTTGTAGAGTTGGCCTGAACCATACGATAAGTGGCCGGGCTGTTGTATCCTGGAGGGAACAAGTCATAGGTTTGTGACTGCTGCACCGGTATTTGAGTTCTTCCTACCGCAGTGGGCTTGATCTCCTTAAAGAAAACGAGATATACGTGCCTCAGCCAGATCTATTTGTATATCTTTTTCTTTGTATTATTTATCAATAAAATATATATTTTTTCTAGTATTTTCACCAACAATTTTAAGGAGATCAATCATAGATCAAGTACACCAATGGGGGTTGGTCCAAGTGGAAAGGGACTTGGGTCGCTTAACCAAAGGTCTCGAGTTCGAGCCTTTGTGGATGTAGCAAACCCCCTTGGGAGAGGACCCCGCATTTGCACCCAGCAGCTTCC